TTTTGCGCTCGCGTGGGGCCGCACTTGAGCGAGCTGCGGCCAGAGTTTGCAGGGAGGCGGGCGATACTGTGGCGACGCATGTTCTTGTGCGGGACCTCAACGTTATCCCTGTCCGCCCGGACGAGAGGCGCATAGAGGTCATAGCGAACGGCCTGACCTTGTGGGGCGGGGTGCAGCTTGTCGTAGACACCACGCTGGTGTCGCCCCTCGCCGCGGCTGGCCTTCCACGACGCCCCACAGCCTCCCGCGCTACCCGCACCCAGGCCCTTTCCACCACCTTGGCCCGCCGTGCTAACAGCCCCGTGCGCGGGCACGCCAAGGCGTGGTCGTGGCGTCCACGCTTCCGCCGCATCCGGGCGAGCCGCATTGGCGAGTGGTGATGGGCAGGGGAAGGCGCAAGCGCCTGCGCAGGGCCACCTGCATGACGGTGTCGGGGACAACGTCGTGGCCGGCTCGCCTGGTATGGCCGTCAGCCACGCGCCAGCGTGCGGGCCTGACTGGGAGCGAAGCAGGGCTCGGCAGTCCGGCGTCAACGACGGCAGCATCACGCGGTCGTGGTAGTAACAGGTGCGAGTGCGCGACGCATGAAGCTGCCAGCCGTGTGGCCCTTCGCCAAGTCGGCCGCAGGCCCCTGGCAACTGCGGTCCAGCTGGGGCACGCGTCCCAGCCCTCAACAGCAGCGCGCGGGCGCTCGCAGCGTGGCTTTTGCGGCGGCCTGCGTCGCTTTGTTAAGGGCCGCCATGACTGGGAGAGCATCCGCCCACGCCGCCCATTACGCCGCGGGGGCCACGCGCGCTGCGGATGCGACGCCTAGGCCACCGAGGGACGCTGGTAGCTCGTCCACGTCCTCGCCCCCATCACCTCCCAGGCATTCTAGGAAAGTGCCCCACATGGCTTCGTCGTGCGCTGCGGCGTAGGCGGCCGTTGTTTCCACTGTCGGAAAGTGTGCTCCAAGCCAGCGTTGAATAAAGCGGGCGACATAACATATCTAAAAATCTCCCTGTTTCACCCCGCGTTGGATGTCAAAGGGGGAACCCTTTTTCACTGTGAGCGGTACACTGTTTGCAATAAGCTGATGTAGCCGTATGTAGCAGTCGAGCAAACTTTGACATCGCAATGCTTCGAAACAGGGTTTGAACTCGATGCGGTCAAAGGCCTTCAAACGTCAAAATTCCACTCCACAGCTTTGAACAAAACTGTCTCAAGAACAGCCATCGCGTGATCCACTCCAAGTAGTTGATCCCAATTTTGTTAACACTCCAGCAAATTTTGATTTCTCGTATGCACGACCTTCGAAAAGATATTGTAGGTGAATTTGAGTTACCACTGGCCCAAAACATGTTAGTTTTTTCTGCGCGCCTTTTTGCTTACCGTTCAAGACGGTATGTGATGAGAGCGCGCTCAAGATGCACCTTTTGAGACCTTGCCACGGCATCTCGCGCGCTGCTGCTGTCGTAAGCCGGGCCACACACCGGGCGTGCCCTCACAGTAAAGCCGACTGCCGCAGAGCTCCTCATCCCACCAGCCCATTTCCGGGTGCTGCTCCTGCGCCGCCTGCGGCTGCCACGGGTCTTTGGATGCCTTGGGGGACCGCCGGTCGGCGTGCGCGCAGGCGTCAAGCCCATCTGACCTGCTGCGCCCCTTGTGCCGCCACGGTCGTTGCCCCCATGCGGGCCGGGCCCTTACCGGCGCTTTGCGCTTCCAAAGTCTCAGCCTGCAGGTGGCACAGGGTGCGGAAAGCACACCGGGCGGTGGTGGGCAGGGAGGCTGGCGAGGGGAGGGGGGGCCGAGCAACCTGCCAAGACATCGCTGAGGAGTGGCGTGTCTCCATCGATGTTGCCAGGGTTCGCAAGAGGGAGTGCAGGGAGGCTGGCACCGAAGGCACGCGTGGCTGCAAACGAGATGAGGGCAGACCAGCGGAGCACGAGGTGGCTGCGGTCCTGACAGTTGCTGGCGCGGCCTGTGCCCTGCGGGCGGGCGCGGACAAACCCGGCGGCCTCCGGACTCGAGCGGCCTCCGACTTCGAGAGCAAGCACTGTCAGGCAGGCGCAACCGCGCGCGTGGTGTCAACAGCCAACTGAACAACCGCCCCCCAGAGCGGGACTCCGTTGGCGATGACATGCGATGACCTCGATGCGACGCTCGTCTTGGCGCTCAGTGACAACATGGATCAACATGGATAACCCGGCCGCAGCGACATCGCTTGGCGAAGGGGAGTGGCAATCGCGGGCGTCGGAGCAACATGACGCGGTACTCAGCATCCTCTCGAATGCACCCATCCGCCGCGGTAGGGCTGCTCCGCCGTTGCGATAGCGTAGGGAAATCAATGGGCTCATTTCCCCCCGACAGCATGGACGTCAAGGCAACGCGCAAGGGCTGCGTCGTGTTCGGCGGCGAACCATCCGTGACGCGCGGGCGGCACCGTGCGGAGGAGGTATTGGCACCGCGGAGGAGTAGCACCCACGTGGACTGCATGTCCTGCATGGCAGCAAAACGGGCCCGCAGCTCGTCGTGCTTGGAACGCCGCTCCGCCAGCGCGGCCACGAAAAAAATATACACATCCATGCTAAGTCTTACGTGTTGCTCGCGTTTACCGAGGGGGCCGAGGACGATGAGGCCTTGCTGGGCTGCGGCAGCGCGCCTCCACCAGTCCCGGCGGTTCCTCCCCGGCCGCGTTCCAAGCCCTTGTCTTGCCCAGGCGGACTTGGACATTTGCCCGTGCGCTAGGCGCTTCCTGAGCACTGTGTAGCGTGGGGACCGTTCTCTCCCCGGATAACTGGTGATGTACACATCGAGGAATGCGTACAGAGGGCAGGAGTTGGGCGTGGGTGCTCCGGCTCCGGCCGCTCCATGGATCTTCCCTGCTCGGCTCGCAACTGGGCTGGAGCAACACTTCCTTGGTCGAGAAAGGGCCAAGATTAGTTAAGGCAACTTGCATACGCGGATCCCACAACGTGTCCGGCACACGGGTGGTGAGGAAAAAACCGCCGTTTCCTTGTGGGACTCTGTTGGCCCGTAGGGTGCAGCGACGTGCTCGGGCGGAAACGAGCTGGTGGAACCACTAAGAGCTGTTAGACGGCGTGGAGGCACCTGCGCCGGCGCCTTCCACCCACCGCCGGAAGCAGTGGCACAGACCTGGCACGGGAAAGCCGCTGCTCCAACGTGCGGACCTAAAAACACCTGCGGTAAGGTTTCGTGTGGCGGAAATGTAGCCATCAGGCAGGACTACCCTTTCCCACGCCCAAACGAAATGGACGCGGGTGGCTTCCGGGAGCACATCGAGGAGCAGCTGGCTCTCAGAAAAGGACACGGGGTGCCGATCCTCTGCTGCAAGTTGCTGGAAGGTATGTAAAACGTGCACGAGGTCCTGAGGGGAGGCGGAAGCGCCCGACGGCATGTAGCAAAGGCACAGAAAACTCACTGTGCGTAGCTCCGAGCGGCGCATGGGGTGGGATTGGACCTCACTTATACATGCGCCATCAGCAACAGGTGGCGGGCCGATGCGGGCCGTGCTCGTGACACGTGGGGCGTTCAGGCAGGTTTTGGAGGCTGTTCGGCGTGGGTGTGCCAAGAACACCTGCAGGCAGCACATCGGGACAACAGAAGGTGGCAGGCCTGGCACACGATGGCCGGCCGACGTGGTATCAACTTCAGGCGCAGAGCCTGGGATCGGGACAACATGGTGACGGCACTTCCGCGGACTGTGCCATCTGCCTTGACACCGTTGTGCCAGACGAGGTGCCGGATCCGCTCCTCCATCCCGCGTGTCTGCGCCACCGCCTGCATCTCACATGCCTCGCGCAACAGCGTGTCCAGGCGAACTCACGGCACGGCATTAGCCGCAGGCCTACGATGAGTGGCGGAGGAGTGTCTCGCCAGGGGGATTGCGCGGCGCCCACACGGCTGCCCGCCCCTTCCACAGTGCGGCATGCGGTGGAGGACTATGCCACCCGCACCTTCAATGACGCGGCTGCGAGTGTGGACAGGATTGCCACGCTTGGCGCAATCGACTAGAGGCTGCTGCAAAGAAGGGTATCACACGCTGAGTTCGCGAACACGCGCATCACACGACGTGAGGAAAGGTAAGATTGTTTCATCGACATTGACAGAAAGAAGCTGCTTAGAAGAGGGGCCCAACCTTCACCACCAACAAGCACGCAGCCGCAGCTCTTGGGAACCATTTTGCAAGCACTGACATGGTTGACAAAAGAATTGACAGAGCTACAGGCCTTCAGCCGCATCTCACGTGCGGCCAAGAGTTTCTGCCTACGTTGATGACGCTCCACCAACAAGCTCAGAAACCATTTCAAATCATGAACGGCACGTAGAGGCGAAACTGTGCAATACAGCCTGAACATGACATTGGCAAATTTTACAAAAGAATCATGCCGATGCAAGTGTTCATCAACTAACTGTTTGTCACGCAACAACCCTTGGAAGTTGGGTTCTATCGTCTTTTTCATCCCATGCTGTGGGTTGGACACAATCTTTTCCAAGGCTACAGTTCTCACAAAGTTTGGGCAGGTCAGTGCTATCGTGCTCTGGTAAAAATTGCTCTGCTGCCAGGTCAGATATGGCACATGAATTCCCACGATGCGTCAGCACTATGACTGGTATGTTGCATATTCAGTAGCAGCCAAGACGTGGTAAACGAAATGCAAAGTCGCGCAATGTGACCGATGCCGATGAAGGACGAAGAGGTTGCGCAAACCTTTTCTAAGGCCAGAATTGGGCAGTTTGCCAAAGCACAATCATGTCACATGCTTTCATGTGCATGCGCTTCATTCGTTTCTTGCATCGAGTACCCATTTGGCACAAAACCGTTTCGGACTCGAAGAAGCGGGTGCAAATGCCATACTCCCGAAGCAAAGGGGCCAGGCAGGTCCGATGCCATCTGCACCACGGGCTGCCAAGGCAGCCTCCACGAAGGCTGACCATTTTACAGCTTACGGCAACATGACTCTGCAACATCATGCAACATCTATTGGGTAGGCTGTGTCTCAGCCGTCGGCTGCAGCACGAGCATCTGCCAAGGCTGCCTTCAGCGTGACCGCTTGCGCTGGCAGCCTTTGGGAAATATCATGCATTCACACCTGAACTGCACTCCGTTCTTGTCTGTGTGCAATGGCTGTCGACCAAAGTTGACACAATCCAAAGCGAGGCACGTGCCACGTTGGCGTCCCATCTCGGCCAACGCCTTGCCACGGCCACTGTAAGCCGCCACCAAAAGAGCCAGGTTGGGTCCTGCGGCGCTTGCCACCGCATCATATCCAGCCCTTATATGGTTGTGCACTGAGCGTTCTCGCCCCCGAACCCCGAAAGGTGTACGGCCTCCCCCGAAAAAACCCTCAACCCTCAACTATAAAGACCCTACCCTAGAGCCTAACCCTGGGACCGTAAACCCTAAATCCTAAGCCCTAACCCCTCACCAAACCCTAAAGCTCAGGGGGGGGGAACCCTCAACCCGGAAGACCCAAAGACCATAGACCCTAGCCCCAAACCCAAACCCAAAACCCCTATAAACCCTAAAAGGGCCCAAAAACAAACTCGCAACCACAACCAAAAAAAGACTCACAACCACACCAAGGCGGGGACCCATGGGGAGGGGAGAGAGGGGAGGGGGGGTGCGGGGGAGTCGGGCCCAACACTCATACACACTGTGAATGGAACATTAAACACAGCGCCAGACTCCGGATAGCAGCACAGAACCGCACCGTTTGTGCCCTGAAGGAGTCATGCCCAAACATTTCTCTAACCGGATATCACAACCCCCAAACTCACAACCATGAATCTGGCATCGGCCGGCCGGCTGCCAGGTTCTCCCGCAGCTCATTTATCCCTTTGCTGAACAGCCTCGGACCAGCAATCGCGAATTCTGGGATATCATGAGGATATTGGCCGGCAAGCAACTTGTTGTCAAGCCGATTGCAACTAAGTGTCTCCGCTGCGCTGCGCCAATTTTCCGCAGCTAAGGCCTCCTCGATTATGCCACAGTCTGTTTGCATGGTCTTTGTGCTCTGTCTCTCTCTCCCTCTCTCTCTGTCTCTTTTTCTTTGTTTCTTTGTTTTTTCTTTTCTTCTTTCTTTACTTTTTTCTTTACTTGTTTCTTTCCTTCTTTTTTTATCTATTTCTTTCTTTGCTTGCTTGCTTGCTTTGTTTCTTTCTGCGTACTTAACCTCCCCCCGTTGGTGGAGGTCGCCCGTGGACGTACGTAACAGGTTCCTGTGGAGTGACCGAAACCCCGAAGCCCCCGGGAGACAGCGCGTATCTTACGTACTTACTTACTTACTTACGTACTTACTTACTTACTTACCTTAGGGACGAATCTCCAATCCGCACTCTCTCCCTCTCTTTCTTGTTTTTTTTCTTTTTCTTTCTCACTCAGCGTTCTCCCTGACATGTCGTTTGCATGCTTGCAACAAAAAAGCCTGAAATAGTTGCAAAACGCCGTTGCGCATGTCCTCCGCATCTCGTAAACAAACCATGGGCCAAACCCTACATGAAATTCAGGGCCCTGCGATCTGAAAGCATCCATTGAGTTTTGCGGCAGGCCATGTGACTCATGCACCATAAAGCTGTATAATTGCAATTGTCATGCGCCACTTCGACCTAACATGATGGCATTGCAAACTCGTGCACACTCTTTGACTTGCCAAAATTGAGCTGCACCATACCACCGGGGGAGTTGCAGGAATGCTTGAAGGGGCATGCGTGATCAATTGTACAGGCTTCGGAAAGATCCGACCAAAAAGAGTCGATCAAAAGGAAGAACAGAGCGAGATGCGTGCATGTGAGCGGTGCAATGTGAAATGCATGAGTAAGTGCGATAAGCAATCATATGGCTTAAGTTAACGGATAATTCGATGTGACACGTGCGAGCAGATGGTGGTGAAGAATCCATGGTTTTAAGGTTTTCAGATGTTTTAAGGAATAAGCAACGCTTTACTTTTTTGTGTGTACACTCTTATTCGAAAAAAACCAAAAAACGGTGTGGAGGCACCAGCCTGACAAGTAGCGAGCGCACTGTTCCTCACATTGTGGATGTATAATTTCACGTCTGTCTATCGGTTGCGTGCAAACGTTTCTGCAACATGGACACAGAGGATGAACATGAAGAAAGTTGACGAAAACAAGGTTTTATCAGGACTCGACTCCCCTCGCAAACTCCGGCGCAAGAAGAGATCACATGAAACAAAACTGGTTCAATGAAAATTTACACGATCATTAAAGTCTTGAGCCAAAGAAAACCCGGAAAAGGGAAAACAGCAAAACACGCAGTGTATATGACTCTCCCAAAAGGATCACCAAGAATATCATCACTATGCATAAAAGCACTGCCCTCGCTTCTTCTTTTTCTCACGTGGAGACTGTGGGAGTCGGTGCACACAAAGCCTCACCTTATACCTTAGGCAACCTGTGAAGCCGGGCACACGGGCCCCCTTTGCAGCTGACGGCAAGGCCATAACACTGGGATGCATGCACCAATCCCAAGGACAAGCAGATCCCCTCAAGCACTGCAAGAGTTTGCATCGTTAACAACCAACGCGCAGTGGTTGGCAAACATGAGCGAACGCGGGGCACGGAAGGCAGGCGCTCCAATGTTGGCAAACATGAGCGAACAAGGTGAACATCCAGGTGCTCCAATGTTGGCGAACATGAGCGAACGCAGGGGGCTTGAATAAGGGCTCGCAGGAGGCGAACAGGCAGGTGAAGCTTGCAAGAACAAGGGCGGGTGGGTGGGATCAACTTGGAAGTCACAATCGGTCAAACCGAAACACTCAAGATACTCGACAGGACAAGCACAAGAGGGAAGCCAGGCGACCCGACACAGGGTGGGCCGGGCGGGAGAAATTTTTATCACATTGCAGAAGCTAGAGTCTTGTCTTCAAAGTTTAATGCATAACACATGGCAGCTCCATGAACCTGCAGATGCTCGTAGTTCACAAGGCACTTGAACCGGCGAACGTGCACAAGCAATGGTGCCGGGGACTGACAAATGAATGCAAAAGGCCGTTGAAAGAAAGTTTTCCCTTTTCACGAATGCTCAGGCGAGCAAGCAAAAAGACGCAAAAAGGTTATTCCCCTAGGCTCAGACTTTAACGCACTATCAACCCGTTGACCGCTAGCTTAAAGTCTTGAGCCAAAGAAAACCCGGAAAAGGGAAAACAGCAAAACACGCAGTGTATATGACTCTCCCAAAAGGATCACCAAGAATATCATCACTATGCATAAAAGCACTGCCCTCGCTTCTTCTTTTTCTCACGTGGAGACTGTGGGAGTCGGTGCACACAAAGCCTCACCTTATACCTTAGGCAACCTGTGAAGCCGGGCACACGGGCCCCCTTTGCAGCTGACGGCAAGGCCATAACACTGGGATGCATGCACCAATCCTAAGGACAAGCAGATCCCCTCAAGCACTGCAAGAGTTTGCATCGTTAACAACCAACGCGCAGTGGTTGGCAAACATGAGCGAACGCGGGGCACGGAAGGCAGGCGCTCCAATGTTGGCAAACATGAGCGAACAAGGTGAACATCCAGGTGCTCCAATGTTGGCGAACATGAGCGAACGCAGGGGGCTTGAATAAGGGCTCGCAGGAGGCGAGCAGGCAGGTGAAGCTTGCAAGAACAAGGGCGGGTGGGTGGGATCAACTTGGAAGTCACAATCGGTCAAACCGAAACACTCAAGATACTCGACAGGACAAGCACAAGAGGGAAGCCAGGCGACCCGACACAGGGTGGGCCGGGCGGGAGAAATTTTTATCACATTGCAGAAGCTAGAGTCTTGTCTTCAAAGTTTAATGCATAACACATGGCAGCTCCATGAACCTGCAGATGCTCGTAGTTCACAAGGCACTTGAACCGGCGAACGTGCACAAGCAATGGTGCCGGGGACTGACAAATGAATGCAAAAGGCCGTTGAAAGAAAGTTTTCCCTTTTCACGAATGCTCAGGCGAGCAAGCAAAAAGACGCAAAAAGGTTATTCCCCTAGGCTCAGACTTTAACGCACTATCAACCCGTTGACCGCTAGCTTAAAGTCTTGAGCCAAAGAAAACCCGGAAAAGGGAAAGTGTATATGACTCTCCCAAAAGGATCACCAAGAATATCATCACTATGCATAAAAGCACTGCCCTCGCTTCTTCTTTTTCTCACGTGGAGACTGTGGGAGTCGGTGCACACAAAGCCTCACCTTATACCTTAGGCAACCTGTGAAGCCGGGCACACGGGCCCCCTTTGCAGCTGACGGCAAGGCCATAACACTGGGATGCATGCACCAATCCCCAACTTAACCGAAAATCAAACCATCGCCCAAGGCAAGAAGGGATCTCTGCAATCAAGAAAGAATCATCTCCAAAGTCTGCTGGCAAGAATCCGCTTCCAACACCACATTGAAAGGTGGACATGAGGGTCCTGGAAGGCTCATCGGCTAAGTTTGATGGACTGGGCACTCGTGCGAACCAACTGAAGGTTTTGGCCAGCATCTCCACCGTAAGGAGAAGCCTGGCCAACCTGGCGCCTACCTTGTTTCGGGCGGATTCGAACCACTGATGAGGACGTCCCTTGTGGCGTTAATGTAGCAAACAATGGGACGCGAACAAATGTCATCTCTCCAGGACATAGACCAACACCACGGCACAAAGTTCGGCTTCAGCAACTTTGGACAATCGTACTGGATTCGTCAACGCCTAAGCTGGGAGGACTCGTGAAGTTCTACCGATAAGAACCTACGAGGCATCCCTTCAGGTCCTATAAGGACTCCCTCCAACCCACAACGGCAAGAACCGCCTGCTCTATCAAAGGCGTCTGTGAAGATGTAAAAGGCTAAGCGGAAAGGTCGGAGATTGTCCTCGGCGGGCCATTTTTGGAGAAGATCAACAAGGGTTTGGCGGAGGCCATGGCGTCGATCACACACTATGGGTAAGTCTCTGCCTGCTGCAGAGCTTGCATGCTCCCCTGATCCGTTCCAGCTCCTTTCTGGTGGACGTTCTAACCTCCAGAAGAGGCAGACTTCCTGTATTCGGTGGAAGTGTTGACGAACAAGACCTTAGTGAGGAATCCCCAAAGCGGAACCCATAGTCCTTATCCCTTCGAAATTCTCCACAAGCAGTTTAAAGAATCTATGCAGGACTTCTTCCACGTGGACCTGCTTCTCGGATCTACAGTGTTGATAAAGTTACGCTGTTCTAAGGCACCCATAGACAGCCCTGCTGGCACCAAATGGAAGCCATACATCTGCCTTACAAATTTGGTCTCTGCACAGTAGAAGCATGCAACAAAGGCAAACATCAGGCCAGTAGCCAAAACGGGAACCTGTCTGTTGGCAGCTTTCAAGTTCAGACACTTTCCGACCATGGCCTTTCCTGGCAAACAACAAAATCATGCCTGCGATCAAGTTCCACACTTTGAGGCTGGAGAGTTTTTTCTAAACGGTATCGTTCAGAAGGATGCGCTGCAGTCGTCAATCACCCTGGGTCGATCCTTCTGAAGAATGGCAAAGCGCCGGTTGATAACTGCATCTAAGGGCAACGTGCTGGGTCCAGCAGACGACACAAGGACTGGCGCCGTCACGCTAGATTTTTTGGACGCCACGTTTCTTACAATGTTTTTTGAAAATTTCAAAATTTCAAATTTTGATCAAAACTAAAGCCGGTTGGCTTAGTTGCGAAAAGTTAGTAAGGCCACTTTGTTTTCAGATCGTTTCATTGACAATGTTTCTCAAACAAGGAAAAAAAAAAAAAAAAAAAAAAAAAAAAAAAAAACATTGATGTTTCAGAATTGTGCTTGAGCGATTTTGTTTTTAAACCAAGGTATCGACAAAAGGTGGAATTTAGAATCTGGGGACCAGCTTTTTTTGGAGTGGACAGTGCAAAGAGCTGAAAAACAGCAGACGTGCCAGAAAAAAAACCACCATCCATTCTACTATCATTCTAGAAGGGTCGGAGACCGTCGTTTGAGCTTTGGTTGGGTTGCTGCTTTTTCTTCGGCCTTGTTTTTTGTGGTATGCTTTTGAATAGACCACCGTGCTGCTGATGTGGTTCCGTTTAAAAAAATGCTTTTGACCATGAACACCACAGTAACTTTTCAGAAAGTAAACGGCGCAATAAAGTCAATGTGGCATGCGGCAAGAACCAAGTTGCGGAGTTAGGACAATCAAAGTTCCTGCTGGCCCCCTTGCACCGGAGCGGCTGTAAGAACTTTACATTGGAGTGCCGAGTTCAGCCAAAGTGGTCTTGAGACACCTGTTTAAAGTTTGGTTTTTGGTTTGCCAAATAATTGTTTAAGACTCTTTTTTCTGTGTGGCAGCAATGAGTACTGTTTCTTGACGCAACATCACCTCTGCTCAAAGGGGGGGCTAAGAGGGGGCTTAAGGGGGGGCTTAAGGGGCTTAGGGGGGGGGCAAAGGGGGGGGCTTTGAAGAAGACCCTTTGAAGGGGCTTTAAAGGGGGCTTCAAGGGGGCTTTAAGGGGGGGGCTTAAGGGGGCTTAA